GAGGCTTCTGCAGTGCTTTCTGTGGCCTGCCGTCATCCAGACTCTGAGGAGCAAACACACAGAAGACACACTTCAAAAACCACACACACATCCTGACATTATAGTCAAACCACAGAATCTAAGCAACCACGTCAGCCTGCTAGACTCATTCGTCTCTCACAGACACACACACACACACCTGCACAAACACACAGTACAAAGCGGTGGTGGGAGGGGAGCTGCTAGGATACAGTGTAGGGAGACAGGATTAGCAGTGTTAAGGTTGCTATGGATACAGCCCCATCCTTTCTCCGTGCTCATGTACCTGTGTGTATATATATGTGTGTGTGAGTGTTAACCTGTGTGAGCTTGTCCAGTTCTCCCAGCCAGGCTCCAAACATCTTGTCCAGGTCTTGGTCCTCCTTATCACTGTCCTCCTCTGCTCCATGGTCCAACTCATCATCTGATACCTGCTCCATCTACACACACAGACACACACAGACACACACACACACACAAAGAGAAACAGACAAATCGTCAGATGATTCTAAATAAATGCACAAATTCAAACACACACAATCAGATAACACCCACATTGCAAGATTTGATCTAAAAGAGTAGAAAAATAAATAAATAAATAAAAACCCTCAGTTCATGCCAACCTCACTGCCTGTTACCATGACAACCGCTCACGGACCCCTGGCGGGCACCCTTTACAGTCTGATCGGTGGAATGCCCTGTAGTGTCTGCTGTGCTGTTCACCGCTGACACACCCAACATCTTGCCCACCAGCTAAGGATCCAAAGAAAAGGGGGATGACGACGGAAGAAAGGAGGGGAAAAGCTGATGAACGCCAACCAGCATCACATATGTGGGCTCAGTTACCCTGCAGTGAATCACTACAGCATGAAGCAGATATCAAGCGAGCCACTCTGAACAACAGGAGCAGGTGGTATTAGTGGCGATATGGGCCAGTGTGAGGGGAGGAGGGCATGGCAAGCAAAGGCGATGACAGGGCTCCCTCTACTGGACGAAAAAGGGACGTGCTACAGCTGCAATGTGCAGCTGGGTGCCCGCTCATATCTTGCAATGCAACAAAAAGCATCCGAGCTTTGAAAGTTGACAGACATTCATAAACATCTGCATGCTTTTATTTCAAACGACTCATTTTGGAGCTAATCTATATCACATTACATACTGAAGATATTATGTAGTGAGCGCTTAAGTATTCAGTTAAAATGAAACTGCCTGGAGACAAGTGACAAAAGCAAACTGACAAACAGTTTTTTGTTATCCTACACAAGGACACTTCACATTAGACAAAACACAGGGCTGTACAAATATTATTGCACTAAAGAAATGGCCCCATTCCACAGTATAACAATACGATGCCCCTCCCTGTCTATGCGTAACATTTCTAGGTCACCCAGGCTGTCACACTCTGTGAGGACAATCTGATATTTCCCAACCTGGGGAATAAGTAAACACCCACGACATGCCAATGTGCTTGGAAGAAGAACGTGGTGTATGTGAGTCAAACAATAGGAAAGCGTGGTTCAGCAAAGTAGGAGACACACCTGAGCTTCTGCCATGGGAAGTGCATGTGCATGTTTGCTCCGCCCTTCCAGCCTTACATACACATCATAACACAGTACAAACTTAAACGATGGATAATTAATGAACTAAATTTTACAACATACACGTCTCCCTTAAGAGAGCCCCTGTTTTGGTACAGCCCAGTACCCCCCAACACAGTCCAGTCAGATGGAATATTCCTGGGTAATCCCATTGATGTTTCAGGGGGTGTCTTTCCACTCCTGTTATTCACACTGTGTGGTGTCAGTCACTAGTGGAGACTGTACCAAACCAGAATTAACCCCTTTGTTGACCCCTGTACGTTTGATCTAATGAAATGTATGTGTGCGTTTGTGTGTCTAAGCTTTATGGTTATACTGAATACTTGAGAGGCAATCCGAAAGTCATGCTTTGTTGTTAGAAGGCGATAAAAGCGGGTAATAAAACAGGCAGTAGGTTAAAGGCAATAAAACAGGCGGGCGTTTGTTAAAGCAAACAGGAATATGATAGCGAACACTATTGAAAATCGGTCAGCTGAAGACAAACACGCACTCGCACACACACAAGCAGCTGAGGGGCGCTTGTTTCAGAGCAGAAGCGGTCACATTCCAGACAGCACACGTGCCCCGTCACTGTATGTGCTGCTCGCTGAACAAATAAATATACTCCTCCAGCCTCTGTGTCTTTACAGGTGGCATCATAAGCCTACGCTGCTACTTCTGTGTGTGTGCGTGCGTGTTTATGTGCACGCACATTACAGGGTTGATGATGGATGGTTTCCTGTGTTGGCATACGTATCAAACACATCAAGAACATCTTGTTGAGAAAGATAGAGTCTGGGTATGTAAACAAAAACATTTTTAACTAAGTGTGCGCAAGTGTACTGTTACATTCATGCCCTCATGAACGTGTGTGGGAGTCGGAACAGGAAATGGCCAGGATGTGCAGAATTCCTGATTTCCCTACTGGCAGGAAACTCCAGCTGTCCTTTGGGTTATTGGGGATGAGAGGGACTTATGGGTAAGAGGAGGAGATCGTGGTGCTGAGGCTACGATCCAGAACGCTCCACCTTTACAGGTACTTGGTGTATCACTGTAGATGACTCACAAAACCAAACCAAGTTTGCATCATTCAAATGACATTGTAACAGTTGACTTGGCTCCACAAAGAGCCCTTTGGTCAGAGACATATCTCATCGGGAGGGGGTTTCCCAGCATGACATCATGGCTGGCCGGAGGCAGAGGAAGAGGAAATGGCCAAATTAAAAAATGGGCATACATTGTGTTTGTCTATTCTCTGAGGTCCTTCAATTTGTAAATACAGAAGCATTAAATGAGTTGCCCCTCAGGAGCTTGAACAGCTGTGTTAAAACAGCAATCAGCCTGCGGATCTTCATATCTCACACACACACACACACACACGCACGCACGCACACACGCTGTGGGTGTATAGGACAAGAAGAGGAGAGAACGATACTCAAACAGGACTTTGGAAATAGCTCTGGTGCCATCTTTTTAATGGAATAATACAACCTCAGTGGCAGATGCTGCAGCAGGTTTAAGTGAATTACCACCTGAGACCCTGCTTTTAACTTATGGAGCATGACCTGGGAGAGACACCGGGATAAGAGGAAGCTCTCTCTCTGTGTGTGTGTGTGTGTGTGTGAGTGAGACAGAGAGAGTAGGAGAGTGCACTCCTGCAGGCATCACTGCTGACTAAACACCCGCCTTGGCCTATACCCCCTTCCTCATCCTGCACGGTCCCCCTTCTCTTGTCTGACCATGACCAGCACTCATCTGTCTCCTCTGACTACTGGGTCGCTCAGGGGGACTATGGGTGAAAAGGTCATAGGTGAAAGGTCTTCTCACTGGAGTCTCACTCTGCAGCCTTATTTTGGTACGGTTTTTAAACGAGCGCCGTTCCTGCTGATGCTGCAGTGCCGCCGAAGGGAGATGAAGAGCGAGGGGAAGATGAAAAGTGTGTGCCTCAAACCTCTCTGAATCATAGAGAAAGCACAGAAAGCACCCGGTGGTGCTGAGAAGGATGAAGAGGTGGAGGAGGACATGTCTATCTTTAGACTAAGTCGTTCATATCAGTGTCAAGAGGATTGGGAAAGGGAGCAGAAAGAAGACTAGATATCAAACGGTTGTTAAGAAGAGAACAGTGTCTTGAATAGTTTTCCATAGTTTCTATATCAAGCAGCAAACTCTGAGTCAAATGCTATGCTACTGACTATCAAAAGAAATGAGGGCATAGGTTTCAAACTAGCAACTTCTTCGTCAGCTGTAAAGGCCTAAATTGTGCAAACTGGTTACAGTAAGCACTTCAAGTGGGTTAATGAATAAGAGGGAGTAACCTTGCTGACTTCTCATCACATGACTTGGAATGACTGATGCCGCCTGAGGCCTATTTTCACACCTCAAGTGACAAACAAAGCCAATGGCCCCAGACGCCAGACTAACCTTTGGATCAGCAACAGAAAAATTTCAGGTCAAGCTACGAACAAATGCAATCACACAATTTTAATCCTTTTGGGAAAACACGTCCTCTGCATTTGGACTAGTTCAGAGGCCAGTGTATTGGTCAGTGGTAATGGCCGGCATGTCAGAGAAATCCCATGAGAACACAAGGAGATTAAGGAAAAAACAGAAAATACTTGCAACCCCCCATCCTGCTTGAGACAGAAATGAGAGAAAGTCACACGAGCAATTGGGTGTGACAAAGAGAAGGGAGAGTCCTACATGACATCATAGGTCAGATTAGGTCTCCATGGCTGGCTCCTTCTTAATTCAGTTTGCATGATAGGACAAAGCATTGCTGTTCATTTGGTCGACATCTGGGATGGAGGTTTATATGACTATAATCCACTTGTTATACGAGAATGGAATATTGCAAATCTGTAAAAATGTAAAAAAATATAATAAATATAATACCAGCTTATTTAATCAACACACAAAAGGCAAATAGACTTTCACAGACAACTTCAACACCACCTGCTCTGTTCCTGGTTGATATTCAAATCATGAATTGCTCCCAACATTTGAGTAACAAATAAATCCTTTCACATTTCTATCACACAGGAAATAGGAGGGCTGGGCATTGGAATATGACCTTAGCTGTGTAAACACTGTTGTGGCCAGATACTTCTGCTGCTGGTGACTGACTGGATGTTTCCATCAAGCACTTCTAAATAAGACTATTTTTGGATTAAATACTCCACCTACCCTGTGTCTGTGTTAGTTTTATAATGTTGCAATAAGAACTAATGAAACCAGGCATCAGTGGTTTGGCTGTCATCATTTCCGCCTCGGAAAAACAGTGAAATACACACAAACCTCTAAAACCTCCCTGTCCTCTCAGCTCTTTCCCTCTTCCCTTAAATCATCTTTGAAAGAAAATAACTTCATGCTAATTTCTGACACTTCTCTTCTAAAAATATTCTCAGCGTCACACTTAAATAGGACAATATTTGGAAGAAAAGGGACAGGAAATGACTGGGCTTAGGGCTAGTAAACAACATGGCCATTAAATAAACTCTGTGAACTCTGATGAGGCATGAAGACAACAGTGCAATGGCTCTTGGCCGCAAATAGGGAGTGGGAATTCTTAAGTGTTTAGTGGGACACAAATGCTCGCAGTGACAAGAGTCTCCGGGGGCAGACGCAGACAAAGGCTCAAACCGAGGGAACAAGTTAAACATTTAGCAAACCCATGGCTAGGAATAGCTGTAAACATGGCCAGGCAGCCTGGCTACAATGTGTGCCCCTCCCCATACTCTGAATACTGCTGACCGACAGACTCTCGGGAAATTATGTGTGAGAAAAAGCAAGAGGCGGGTGCGTGGGGTCAGTTTGAGGAGAAGCATGTTTAATGGGCCTCTTTGAATTGATGTAACACAGACGGGGAAACTATGAGGCACACCCCAGTCTTTTAAGAGAAAAAGCCATTGTATGACCCTGTACTCAAAAAATAAATGCTTTAAGTATAAACCAACGAAGCCCTAAAAATTCTTTAGACCTTGATATTGCAGCTCTACACCACGATCACCACTATGCAGACTCTGGCTCCAATTGATGTCAACGATGGTGGCACCTGTATCTGGGATATTTTAGCCTGGAAGAGGCATTGTTCATCTTTATATAAAGTCTATGATACAAATAAGAATATTTTTTTTATGTCAATTAACTGGTGACAAACTACCTTATGAAAAAAACCTGAAACTGCCAGTAGTTTACAAACTATTAATGACTTCATTTAATATAAACTGAATATATTAAACTCTTGTGCTTCATATTATGTTTTCACAAATGTTCCAGTCTGGTTTTTAATGATCAACGATATACAACCAATACTCAGCTCACCATCTACTGCATTCTCCAATACATAACAAATACATCTCTTCCTGACCTCCTTGTTTCCTTGTCTCCTTCTCGGGTCATCCCCTTTTTCCCTCATAGACTATGAATCACCTCTTACACATACATGTGTGTGACTGTCATCATAGCCGACATGGCCCAGGATACTCCAGCTATAAAACACACCATGAAATGACACAGAGTCAGGATATCATAATCACAGCCTGTGTCACATGAGCCAATATACACTTCACCTCTTCACGGCTGCTTAGTTTCAACACCTCTGAGACATAAAACAGATGCAATCTCACTGTGTGAGCGTTATGATAATGGTTATCTCCAGGCTCATGTTTTCAGCACAGTCTAGTCGTTTGCCCACTTCCTTTCCCATCCCTCCTTTCTTTCTTCCCTTAAAAGCGCTACACCTAGAGAAGAGCGACGGGGACCAGAAACCAACGTCACTGACTCACGTAGATGTATAAAAGTTAAAAAGTGAAAAGGGGAAATTGGCTGTGAGTTGTGGCAGCAGTGTTGGTGGAAAGAATTCTTTGAAGTTGGGAGCAGCTTGTCTGCCATTATCCAAAGTCTGACTGGGTGTGGTTGACCTGGAGTGGCCACAGACATCTGACGCAAAAAATTACGTAATAGTGTGTGTGTGTGCTTCTTCTGTGAATTAGACATGTAGATGCAGCTTTATAAGGTTGAAGAGGGTTACAGGCTTTTTAGCAACACATTTATAACAAATATCGACATACTGCCACTCTGCTGTTGATGGTGGGTTTGATGCCTGCACGATCACTAACAACAATCCCTGTTTCATTTCTCGGGACACACAACATAGCCGGCTTTCGTGTTAATGTGCCGTGCTAGCTGTCAACATATCCAACTGCCTCAGCCTCTGCAATTAATGGGATTTGTTGGGTTCTTGTACTCGTACCCATTTTCGATCAACCTTTCAAAGTCCATGAAAACACAGCAGACTGAATGTAAACACTTTGAAACATGTATCGTTGATGTTTTAGCGTTATACGCTCTCAAACACAATGGGTCCGTCATTGCAATGACTAACAGCTGTCTTAAACTTTTTAGGGTGGAATTTGTATTTAAGGAAAAGCTTTCAGGCTGGAATCTAATGATAGTGTTTGAAATTGGCAGCTACATGGTCGAAATATGCTGTTACACTGCCGACTCTGCAATGTGGGGAATTAGTCAGCACAAAAAAAGATAAAATAACAACTGCACCATGTTCTGCAGACTACAGGCTTCTGCAATTAATACAAGGACTTTCTATATTTATTATATTCTCATGTCACATGTCACACAGAACAGCAGAGAAGGAAGCAGGGAAGGACTGTCGGGGAGGAGAGATGGGACTGGTAGGAGGCCAGCGAGGAAGCAGGGAGAGTGATGGAGGGCATGATGGATAGGTACAATGATGGTGGGAGGGGGTCGGCTATTAGGCTGTGAATGTAGGGGAGGCCCTGATGGTCAAAACAACAGCTCCAGTGTCATTAGTCAAGCATGACCAACAGCCTGCAAGCAGAGGAGGACCCCGTACACAAACACACGCACATATGGATCCACAAAAACACACACGCTCACTGAAGCAGAGCGTGACACAGGCAGCCACTGTGGCTTATACAGCCAATTAGGAAGGAGGGGCACAGAAAGAGATGAGGGGGGCCAGAAAGAGGAGAAAGATGAGGAGGGTGTCAGAGGTGGACAGATGGAAAGGGAGTTAGGGGAGGGAGGGAGGGAGAGCAGGAGAAACAGAAGAGAGGCAGTGTGAAAATGCATAGTCACACTAGTGGGTGGTAGGTGTGAGTACTCAGCTATATATCAGAGGGAGCTAAGCTTCAGCTGCCCTGCATCTATTCTAACAGGCATCGCCATGGCAACACATGTGCACATCTCTGTGGATGGACCTGCAGCTATCACAGAGAGCTTGGCATAAATCTTCAGAGATAACAGACATGTGACGTGATGTTTCCACATCCAAGGCCTGCAGGGTGTCCATAAAGGCTTCTGCTGACACCTGACACTGTCATAATAAAAGAAAATTAAAAAATGTGGACAAGACTTCTGGCGCCCTCAATCACTCATTCTCTCTTGCACACAAACAGACAGAGGATGTACGTGCCTCTCTGCTACCCTGCAGGGCAACAGTCCAAATGTGAAATCAATAGTCTTGTCCCTGCCCTTAGGAGTTCAGGTTACATCCACACACACACATATATATATATGTACACCCACACAGGGGCTCAGGTGGTCTGCTGCAGTGAGTGCTCTCTCACAAACACACTTTTAAACATGATGCAGCACTACTGCAGCAGCAGCAGCAGCAGACAACAGAGTGAGTGCTGAGCAGGACTGGCAAGCAATAAAAGCGAAAAAAGATGAGAGGCCAACTGCTCTGCTAAAGTAAAAAGAGCTGAAATCCTGTGAAGTCAAATTATTTTAGTTTAGTTTAGTTTTAGTTTTGTAGAAAGGATGCTAATTTGTGTCTGGTTCACCATCAACGTGCAGCTCTACAGAATGGTTTGTGTTTAAATCTAGGACACAGGACCAAAGTATTCTTTCACATCTTTGTCACTTAATAATTCCAGACTGTTTGTGTTTTCAAAATATCTAAGTGTGGCACAGTTAGATTGAGAGTTAAGTAGATTTGCCTCCATGGAAACTGTCAAACCATCTCATCCTGGATAAATAAAATCATTATCTGCCAACAGAAAGAACTTTTCATCGTTTTTTGCTTGGTCTATCCGAACAGGGGGGTGCATCTGCCACCTGTTAGGGAATACAAAGCACAGTAGGCAACACAAACACACACAATTGGACGACCTGTGTGTGCAAAAAGCACATTCCTGCTGCAACAAGCCAGCCGTGTGCAATGTGTCCTACCTGAAGGCAAAGAGAAACACGTATGCATCACATATCACAAGCAGCTGAGCATGTCTTCCCCAGTTGTTTACTACAGTTCCCATCTCCCCCCTTGCTCAGCTTAAGTGACTGAGGCGCTTCATGTGAGGCTGAATGTGAAGCAAGTGTCCAAGTGTGTGTTTGTGTGTCTCATCAGACAGACACACAAAAAAATGTGCCAGTCTGTTTCCTGCCACACCACCCCCCCAGCATTCCTGCTGTGCCAACACTGCTATCCTTCCAAATGTGGAATGCATGCATGCGCCCATGCACAAGTTAACGCACACATGCACACACACTTAATTTTCCAAAGATCCTTGTGGCTGCAAGGAACTACAAGGGGGGGATCATTTCAAGGACAGTCTGTTTTATGAAAGTCCAAATGCTTGAATGAAACAGTTGCTATGGTAACCACATCCCAGAACAATGACATGTAAGCCGATGCCTCGCATGTGTGATGTACACGCTGAACAATATTGACGGCCCAGTGTCAAAGTTAGTGAGCATCTCTGCTTGACAACCTCTCATTGAAGAACACGACAGTTACAGCTGCCGTCCACAAACACACAGCTATAATCTTCAACAAACTCCCAGAGACGCAAGCATCCTGATACATCCTGAAACTGTTTGAGTCCAGGGGAGCAGGCTTCCTTCCCTCAGGCTCTGTCACCACTGGGGTCCCAGTTTTAAAGTCCATGCCACATCCTTGCAGCAGTTTTTTTTTTTTTTTTTTTTTTTTTAACACATCACCGGTTGGTTTTCCAAAATGAAAACAATCCAGTGTGAGTCTGGGCCTTTATCCATTTACATTTTCCATTAGGTCTTGTCCTGGGTGCGTTTTTTTTTTTAAACTAGTACCAGACAGAGACAAGTTGATGCTGTAAAAATGCATTTCAAGTTGCCATCAATTGCTTAATTTCTAAAACAGCATGTCAGCGTCTCTTGTTTAAAACCTTTTGAGTCTCTGGGGCCGCAAATTCAACGCAGATCTGTGATGGTTGGAGAATAAAAGGTTCACTGAATGGAGCATCTTGTTGCTACAGACCACAGCCGTGGCTCACCCTCACATGGTTCCACTTTAGTCTGGAATTATCTCCTTTGGCAAAAAAGACTCTCCCCTGACAAGATCCTGAAAGGGTTGACTCCTCTTTCATTTGGCTTTGATTTACAAGGCCTCCCGACTGAGGTTTTGATGAGGGGGGTGAGGCCTCCTCTCGACACTCCACCAGCTCACGAGTTATCTATTTTTTTTCTTCACACAACAAACACACGGATCCACATTGTCAACTCACTTAAGATTTGAAAGCAATGAGATGACAGATGATAGCTGGTTTGAGCACATGATGTCTTACACATGCATGTCAGAGGCATTTGAGACCAGCTTAAATATAACTTCCCTGCTGTACAGCTAGTTACAACAGCAACTGGTGTCAAAATAATAATCTCTGTGGCATTTTGCAAAGAAGGTTTGCGAGGCTTACGTCAATGCCACCATTTACTCGCTCCGGTTGGAAGTCTTACCTCTGAAGTGACTTGATCTCCTTCCTTTTGAGGTTTAAGGTCAGACAAATCCTCCACTCCACTTCCCGACCGGGTTCTTTATCCCCTGGAAGTAAGAGAGAAAGGAAGAACAAAATCAATCATGTGTTAATTGGTGTGAATATTTGTAGCTGCAGTAGCAAAACACAACCCCTGCTTTGATCGGCCCATCCAAGGCCATTCGGTCAAACGTGTGGATGCACGGTGTTTGCTCTCACTGCACTGCAGAATTCAGGGAATTGGCAGTCGGCAGCTGGAGGGGAGCAGACTGATTTCACTGTCACAAGAATGCAGAGGATTAACTACGGAGGGTGCTTGAGTGCAGAGACTTAACTAAGCACAGACACAATGACACGCACAGCCAGAAAGACACTTATCGCACAGCTCTGAAAGCAATCAAGTGCAATTCTCTCTTCTCTATAAAGTCTCTTCGTTATTACGGCATAATTAAGAACACGATGTGTTAGCTGCAGAGACCGTCTTCATGTGAATACAAAGCCTTGCAGACCCACACACATAGTCCGCTTAGCAAGCATGCTAACCACCACAGGCTAATAATTTGAGTCAGAGCAGAAACTCAAACCTTGTCAAAACTTACTCGCATATTATCTGTGACTCACCGGACTCCACTAGGTCTCAACAACGCTGACCAGCGTTAAAACATTTCAGCGAGTCATCAACTCAACACCGACTCACACCAGCATCACCTTACTTTATCTAAAACAACTTGAATGCTGAATCATAGTCTGGCAATAAAATAGAATAAAGTCACGTCAGGTTGTAATGCGATGAGCTGGACGGATAATATCAATTTGACGATTTGTTTATGGTGTGTGTGTGTTTACTTTGCCACTTCCTCGTAGTGTGTTTACTCTGTGTGCGGGGTAGGCAGCTGATGTTGTGGCTAACTACGAGGAGGCTTTTCCCACTGGCCTCAGCTGTTCTGTTCTTCAACAAAACAACTGTTGTTCACCCACAGCATGTGGCCCTTCCCCTGGTGGAAGAAAAGTGTGTGAGTGTGTGTTTTCACAGCAAATAGATTCTTGTAACAAGGAGAGTGTCAGAAAGAGCACAGGTTTGTGTGTGGTTGTGCACACACAAGGTATCCATACATGCGTGTTTAAAACACAATTGCCTGCTTGGATTACAGGTTCGCCCCCCCCACCACCACCACCATCTCTCTCTCTGGTGTAATTTGCACACAGTTAACGTGTGATATCACTCAGTCAACACGAGGCCATAGAGCAGGTGTGGCAGTGACACATGGGTCTGTGCAGCTGCAGGGAACACAGTTGCTGCAGTCACAACAGCACACAGGTCGACGGCAGCTGCTGTTCGGAGCTGAAAACAAAGGCAGGCCTGCAACACATGCACAGATAAACATGACTGACTTTCTACCACAGTTTGAACAAAGAGGGAGAGGATGACGTTTCATTTTAAGCCTTAAATCAAACATGACACATTTTCTCTAACGTTTCCCCTTCAAAATGAGCCCATGTGAAAATAACATTTTCTTGGAAAATTCACAGTGAGCAAGTGATGGTGTTGATTTAAGTTTTTCATGTGCAGCATGAGAATTTATGTCATGTCCTGCCTCCTGCTGCTCTACCCAGACACCACCTGATTGTTCCAGACATTTGGTTGTTGCTGTGAATGCATCTGACCCAGAAAATCTCCTGCATCTTCACATGTGAAAGGCAAACTCAGGAAAATATCCAGACCCAATTTTCAGGTTTTTTCAGCAGGGTCATTAGTTCTTGCTAAAAACTTGCATGTGTATGAGAAGTAGAAGTGCTCAGATACCTGTTTATGGAGCCTGCCCTGGAAACAATATTTCCCTTGTGACAGCTCTGAGGCGACTGTGGGCACGACAAAAAAAACATACAACTGCCCTAAAGGTGCCCTGTGTGTCGAAGTTTTTACAACGCTTGGTTTCAACAGACTTTTTTATGTGGCCTAGACTGGTGCCCCACTTCAACTACAGACCAAGGGGAAACACAGGACCTATGCAGAGGACACAGGTGTGTCCTTGTCCAGTTACCCCCCCCCGTCCCCATTTATGGCAAAGCTTTGGGGTGGCTCATTTCCTGTAAGGGCAGGAAGTGGGAAGGAGGGCAGGGGGCGGTGATGATGTCACAGCAGGAAAAGAAAGACAGGATTGTTGTAGGGAAAACCCAGCGAATGAGTAATCAGGAATCAGACAGAGCCACATGCACAATATATTTGTCAAACATATACTGTATATGGTGCTTTAGCAGACAGTAATAAATGGACTAGTAATGGTAAAATCGAATAAAATATCTTCAATATTCTTTCACAGTATAATTAATATAAATGATACGAGTTATAAAAAGCTGGGTTTTTGATAAATTAAGAGTGAGACCACACAGTACAATCCAATCTGATAAAATGGCAAGGTCAGCTTATTTGTTTGCACATTATCTTACACAGGTCATTGTGCTCTATAGAAAGAAATTATTTATACGTGTACAGATCAGAAGCATAAAAACATTTAATAAGGGAAAACATTGCAAACTGTACCACACTACAAACAGTAACCATAGTTATATCAAAAAAATAAATAACATAATCATTCAAGGTAGTGAAAAAGTATTGTATTACTATAACACTATATAATATTACTGTAATATAACACTGCAGACAACATACAACAATACACTAATCTATAAACAGAGAGCTCTTGAACCTATCTGCACAAAAAAACATCGACTCCACGCTACAGTGACGCAACACAGGCTGCAGATAAATCAAGAAAGATGCATTCCTCTCATTCTTGTGTTGCTGCACATCTGGAAATGTGATGCATCTCTATGATATGGCGAGGCAAAGATCATTCGACGTGATAATCTGCTAGTGACCTCCGATTCACAACACGAAACATATCTGCTCCCTAATTCAACACTGATCTGTACAACAGTGGCTGGATGCAGCGAGATTTATTGATCGGAAAATGGCAAACAGCATCTTAATCCGGTTTCAGAACAAGGTGAGGCCTTATCAGTCACCCTGAACGTTCTTGTTAGGGCACCGAGATACAGCATCAGTCAGCTGACAGATGGACCTCTACAAAACCCATTCTCACAGGGAAGGCGCATTAGTATTGATCAGTCTATTGCTTTTACACCAAGTCAGGTGCCACTCAAAAGAAGCAATCCTTCCACACCCCCTTCAAATGTCAAATCTCAATAAAGGAAATCATACATATGAAAACTGAGTGTCTTTATTAGCTCAAACCTGTGGTGAGGGTGTCACAGAAGAGCTCTGCTGTTTCCACTCAAACACAGTGACGTCTGGTTGCAATTACAAGGAGCTGATCTCCCCTTCTCAGTGGGATTCTCCACGGTCCGTGCAGTGAGCACATGGCTCTGGAAAAACCACACATGGTGGGAATTATGGAATAATGCTGCATCAGGAATGTTCCCACGATGGCCAGTGGGGTCTGATGGGGGTCCCCGGTGGGGTTCATGGGTAATGTAACACACATACAAACTTACATGATCAAATGCCTCTTGTGTTAGTCCACATTTGGACCCGTTGCTCTTGTGTTTTGTCCTTTTTGTTGCAGCATTTTTTAACCTTTTCCTTTATCCGTATTAGAAGTAGTACCACGACTCATTAGCACAGCTTGCACAAAGCTAATCAGCTTAAAGACAGAAATCAAATCGCACATCGCATTCACGCCGTTTCATTCTGTAACAGCAGTGAGGGGTAAGGGATCAAGCTGGCTAACCGTAAATATGCTAATGACCCTCCCCACAGCATTAAAGTTGGTCATGGTGCCAAACTCGGGGGCAGATCTCGAGTCAGTCACCGAGTTGCCTGTGTGGCACGTGGACCGAAATAATCAGGAATCACTAGAGAGTGACAATCAGCGGAGCAGAGAGAGCTTAGCAAGCTACTCAGCCACTAACTTAACTCAGTCAATAGGGGCTTGGGCTCAGTGGGAGAGCTGCAAGGGTATTAGTCAATGAGATCTGGCAAGAGTCAGCGGCAAAAGCACGCACATGCACACACACAGAGCACTATTTCGTGAGATTAAGCCTGAAGGTTTGAGCGACAGACAGGGGATTCTCTCCCAAAAAAAAGTGTCAATCCACTACTATGATGGCGCGCACGGCTGTTTTCCCTTGGATTCTCTTTGCGCTGTCTGAACCTCCCACATTCCTTCAGTGTGCTGCATGAACCCTGATGTTAAAAAGAAGAAGAAACCGGAGAATCCTGGCAGCATCAGTCTGTACAGTAAACGCGGAGCACCAGCTTGAAGCCAAATGTTGTGAAATAAGTGCAACTTGTGGACACTGATGGAGGAAAGCGAAGGATGACCTCAGTGTTTCCAAACCTTTTTTATTTCACATGACATCAGCAGCACAGAGGAACACTTTATTGGGTCTCATAAACTTGTCTCTCCTTCGCTCTCCTCCTCCTCTCACCCTTTAACATGATCACCCTCTTTCTCACAGGTGTCCCTCCACTTCCCCTTGACTTTTTTCTGGCAGTCAGCTCGGTTTGCAGAGTCACCGGTGACATGGCGATGTGCGTCGAACCTTGTGGCTCTTGGCTTGGGAGGCACTGAGCGGGCAATGTGACAAGGGCGGGCTGCTTTCCAGGCCCTCTCGTTTCCACTGCTTGAGGTTTCACCAGATGCTGCCTGGAGAGCGTAGCTACATGAGCAACTTTCATGATTATGGGTTAGATCGTAGTTAAAGATCTGAGGAGGGGGAGTAGGCTAAAGTGCATATTTAATGACAAAACAAGACATTTCAGCGCTAGTTTGTGGTGTATTGCTTGTTCAAAGCATAAAATGAAAACAAAAACTGTTGGATCTTCAAATCACATAGGGATGAGTCTGTTTTTGCCGTGAATGTACGTGATTTAAGAGAATCCTTCTGGGGCTACAATTCAAGAAGATGACAACTTAAGTCCAGTGTATCCTCAGGTCTGGAATCTATTTTCCATGCATGCCAAGATATTTGTTTGTTTCAATGATTCAGACACATAACACTGCTTCTGTAACCACACACACAAACACGACACCCCCAACACTGA